CAAAACTGTTTGGTTATCCCTTGATTATTCAGAAGAACAAATAATTACAAACGGTTATATTTGTCAATTATGTCATGACTATTGACTAATGACAAAGAAATGTCTCTTCTTCCTTTTTCCTGTGTCTGTTCGTTTCCCCACCCCATGAGCTAATAATGTTTTATATACTAAACTTTTTTTTTTTGTTAATAAAGGGTTCCCTCAAACACTACTTGACTTACTCATTGTATATTAAATTCTTCTATTAATTTTAGTCTAGCTCTTGATTCAAATTCTTGTTTATAAGTTGTGGTTTATAGGAAAAAGCAAACCGAAGAGGTCTTGCTCTTTTGTTTTTGGTGAACTCGGACCGACGAGGTTTGAGATTTCTGTAGAGCCATAAGGCTTGGGATTTCTTTATTCGGTGGAGAAACCTGGAGAATTTCTCTGTTTTTTTAGAAAATATGAGATTTCAGAGTCGAGGAATTAAGTGTTCTTATTGTTCGAAGTATGGTCATGATGTGAGATCATGTTATCAGGTATATGGATATCCAGATTGGTGGCTGGAGAAGTATGGAAAACCTACGGAACATGTGTCACACACTGAAAAACGTGCGTCACACACGGAGGCGTCACAGGTTGATCCTCAGGCTGTGACAGGGCTCAAGAAAGATCAATGGCATAAGGTTGTTTGATGGTTTGATTCGAGATTAGAGATAGCAAATCGTGTGAGTGATAACACCTATACAGATGAGTGGATTATTGATAGTGGTGCATCGCACCATATGACGGGTACCTTAAGTGGTATGTTTGATGTGCATAAAGTCTCACCATGTTTAGTGGGTCTGCCTAATGGAAATGTTGTGGTTGCTGATAGAGAAGGAAGTGTGGCATTGACGGAGAAGTTAACTTTGACACATGTGCTTATTGTCAAGGAACTCAAGTGCAATCTCATCTCTGTGTCACAGATTATTGATGCAATGAATTGCATTGTGTTTTTCTCCAAGCAAATGTGTCGGATACAGGATCTTGCTTTGCAAATTCTGATTGCAGTGGGTGAAAGAAAAGATGGATTGTATTTTCTTCAAGGTATTCAGAAGACCGTGAATGTAGCGAAGGTCAGTAAGTTAGGGTCTTTGGAACTTTGGCATAAAAGGATGGGACATGCTTCTGAAAAGGTTATTAGGAGATTGCCAGAAGTGGATCAAAAGAGTGTTAGTGTTTCTGATTGCGATGTCTGTTTCCGAGCAAAGCAGTGTCGGAATGTATTTCCTGTGAGTACAGAGAAAAGCAAAGAATGCTTTGAGATGATTCATTGTGATTTGTGGGGGCCATATCGAACACAGTGTGGATCCTCTTATTTTTTAACTATCGTGGATGATTATTCTAGAGCTGTGTGGGTTTTTCTTCTTGCTGATAAAACACAAGTTCAGATAACAATGGTAGATTTCTTTGCTCTCATTCAGCGTCAGTTTGAGAAACAAGTGAAAATCGTGCGAAGTGATAATGGTAGTGAATTCATGGGTATGAAGGAGTATTTTCGTACATCAGGGATAATTCATCAAACTTCGTGTGTGGGAACTCCTCAACAAAATGGTAGAGTGGAGTGAAAACATCAACATATATTGAATGTCGCACGAGCGTTGAGGTTTCAGGCAAATTTACCAGTAGATTTTTGGAGTTATTGTGCTTTGAATGCTGCGTATCTAATCAATCGTACGCCTTCTGTGTTACACAATGGTAAGAGTCCTTATGAAATCATCTTTGGAAAAGCTCCTGCTTATAGTGAGATACGAGTTTTTGGATGTTTAGCGTATGCTCACAATCAGAAACGTCATGGAGAGAAATTTGCGAGTAGAAGCAGAAAATGTGTATTTTTGAGATACCCTTATGCAAAGAAGGGATGAAACTTATTTGACTTGGAGACACATAAAATCTTTGTTTCTCGGGATGTCACTTTTATTGAGGAACGATTCCCATATTTGGAGCTAAAAAATGCACAGGTGGATGAGCTTTCTAATTCTAATCAAATGAGGTTATATGTGGATGATAATGTTGGATTTGACGATATTGAACCTGCCTTGACAAGGGAAATTATACAACCTCTCACAAGAGATACAATGACACAGACTTAGGTTGTGTCAGACAAGGTTGCAGAAGAAGAAAGACAGACTATAGGAAACGAAATACGCGATATCTTAGGAATTACAACGCCACAAACTGAACCTGCATCGGTTACACAGTCTGAGATTGTGCAACCTGCTTTAGTGACAGAACCTGCATCGGTTACACAGTCTGAGAATGTGCAGTCTGCTTTAGTAACAGAACCTGCATCGTTGACACAGGCTGAAACTGTGCAACAGCCTGCATCAACAGAAACTTTGGGACGAAGAATGAGAAAGAAAGAATCTTCTGTCAAGCTACGCGACTATGTGTGCAATACGACATTTACAATGAATACTTCCACTGTGAGTCAGGAGTTGAGTAATGATTATGGTATTGAGAATTATGTGAATTGTGAAAGGTTCTCTGTGTCACACAAGGCATTTCTGTGTAGTATAACTGAAGGAGTTGTGCCGAAAATTTTTGCTGAAGCCATGAAGGATCCGCGATGGAGAGAAGCTATGAGACTCGAGATTGAGGCCCAAGAACGAAATCAAACATGGTTGATTGAACAATTACCACCAGGTAAGCATGTGATTGAGTGTAAATGGGTTTATACAATTAAGTATAATGCAGATGGCTCCATTGAAAGGTATAAGGCGCGACTCGTGGCATGTGGCAATCGTCAAAAAGAAGGGATTGATTATTCTGATACATTTGCTCCTGTAGCAAAGATGAGCACAGTTCGATTGGTTCTTCAAGTTGCCGCTGGGAAAAATTGGGAGCTACATCAGATGGATGTGCAAAATGCGTTTCTTCATGGAGATTTGGATGAAGAGGTCTTTATGAGGGCACCTCAGGGTTTTGGTGCTTCTAAGAAGGGTATGGTATGTCGTTTGCGCAAGTCGCTGTATGGTTTGAAACAAGTTCCACGATGTTGGTTCGCGAAACTTTCGAAGGCACTTTTGGGGTACGGTTTTACACAGAGTAAGGCTGATTACTCTCTTTTCTCATTAGTTCGTGATAAAGTTCACTTGCACATTCTAGTGTATGTGGATGATCTTGTGGTGACAGGAAGCTCTCCTGAGGTGATACAAAAGTTTAAAACATATTTAAGCAATTGCTTTCATATGAAGGATTTGAGAAAATTGAAATATTTTCTTGGATTGGAAGTTGCAAGAAATGCAGAGGGTGTATACTTATCACAGAGAAAGTATGCTCTGGATATTATTGCTGATGTCGGTTTGCTTGGTGGTAGGCCTGTAGAGTTTCCGATGGAGAAAAATCATCAGTTGGGAAGGTCGACGACAAAGATTTTGACTGATCCAGAGAAGTATCGGAGACTGGTTGGAAGATTGATTTACTTGGCTGCGACTAGACCAGATCTTGCCTACTCAGTTCACATTTTATCTCAATTTATGAATGAGCCAAGAGAAGATCATTGGATGGCTGCATTGAGAGTTGTTCGTTATTTGAAAGGGTGCCCGGGAATGGGAATTTTGTTGAAATCTGATTGTAATTTTCATCTTACAGCTTGGTGTGATTCAGATTGGGCTGGATGTCCAATCACGAGGAGATCTTTGAGTGGATGGTTGATACAATTGGGAAATTCTCCTGTGTTATGGAAGTCAAAGAAGCAAGATGTGGTATCATGCTCTTCAACTGAAGCAGAGTATCGAGCTATAATTTTGGCATTGAAGGAGTTGAAGTGGTTAGAGTGTGTTGTTAACGATGTGTATTGCACATTCTGGTCCAATGGATTTATATTGTGACAGCCAGTCTGCGCTTCATATTGCAGCTAATCCTGTGTTTCATGAGAGAACGAAGCATGTGGAAATTGATTGTCATTTCATTCGAGACGATATACAGGCTGGAATTGTTCAGACCCAACATGTTTCTACTACTCAACAGTTGGCGGATATCTTCACTAAAGCACTTGGAGAACGTCCGTTCAAAGGATTTTTGTGCAAGTTGGGCATTCGAGATCTCCATGCTCCAACTTGAGGGGAGGTATTAAGAGATATTAGGAGATATTAAGCTTATTGGGCCTTGTATAGTTAGTTATTAGAATTATTAGAGTAATTTGTCCCACATTGCTAGTTTCTAACTTAAGGTTGACTAATGTACTTGTATATATACGTGTCTTTAGGCTGATGAATAAATCACTTCCGCAAATTACTTTGACAACTTAGAAAAAAGCGAACACCAAAGTTAGACCAGAAAGATGATCTAGGAGTATCAAATATTTATATATATTATCATCATATTAGATCGCTAATATCCATACGCGAGCACGTATAGAGTCTCGCACAAACTATAACGACTACAGTAATCATTTTTTATTGCTAGTACAATAATTGTCAGTAAGAATTGAGCTCTATAGGGAAATTTAGCAAAAAGCAGATTCATTAGCCCACCTATATAATATCACTGACATTCAACATATGATTAACTAACTAATTAACCAATCCATAATCTCGATACTGGATTCAAATTTGATGATAATTTGGATTTAATAGTGAATATTATATGATAAACATCGTCGATCTGACCCTTAAACGCCATGAGAAACTTCCTAGATCACGCCAGCTTGGTTAACCAAAATACAGTGACAACAACAAAACCATATATAGAAAATTTTATTCATGTTCCTAAATCTGGTTAGGGCTTCAATGTATTAAGAGAAGCAATTTCGGTACAAAGACAAATACTTGTATTTGCCTGCCGACAAGAATACACACACAATACAGCCACCCACGCCAGACTATAAAACAAAAGACGACACAAAAAAAACTCCAAAAAGAAAAGTACCTTCCATAGCAAGAAACATGTAAATAGTTCCCAAAAAACAAATTGACAAAAAAAAAGTGTTCCCAAAAGACAAAAAATAAGTTAAAAAAGAGAGAGAGAGTACAATTTCAGAGATGAAGAGAGCTTACTTCGTCTTCTTTCCATAGCCCTTCATCATACATATTCCACCTCATGACTTTTTCATCTTTCTCCATCCACTGACACTTGACGCAAGTCTTGGGATCCTTACAAGCCACAAACTGCTTCAACTTGGAGGCCTTCTCTATTATCGTGCTCCATGGAACCTCCGTATCACTTACCTCAATGTAAGAATGAGAAACATTGAGAACTTCGAGTCTTTTCATTTTATCCAAGATCTTTGTGAGCGCATCTATGTGTATGGAGGTGCATCTGAGGCTGAGGACTTTCAGCTTCGGGAGGAGGCAGACGAGGTTCTGGATGAAGAAAAGATCGATGGGACCCATTACCTTGAGCTCTCTAAATTTCTTGCAGTTCTCTCGGATCGCCGAGAAGACAAAATGCGGGTTAGGCATGCTTGGAATTGTTAGTGACTCTAGTTTCTTACAGAAACTTATTGCATCGCATATACCCCTCTCTTCTATTCTGTTCCAAGATGGTAGCACCAAGCGTCTCAAGTTTGGACACCTGCAACAATTGAGTAAAGAAAATTCATTGCTCGGTTAAACGGTGATTTTTGGCACAAGATACTATAAATTTCTGATTTTTGGCAATATTTAATTTATTTATAGAGATAGAGATATTAATTAGGTCAAAAACATAATTCAAGACCGAAGAAATTTATTGATCTATATATCTAGTACTATTAATGTATAGAGGTGATACTGCATTTCCAAATCTGCAACTTTAGTTTCATGCTATTGAAAATGTATAATAATTTTCTGTTCAATATAAGACGGAAAAAAGAGAGAATATACCTTCTTGTGGTGTAAGTAATCATGTCATCATTCGGCAACAAGTCGTAATGGAAAATCAAGGTCTTTGTGTTTCTCTTGCTAAGACTCATGGAGAGTTTCAAGATCCAAGTCAGTTTCTTATCAGAGTGGCCAACCACGTACAAACATGGCTTACATGAGATTTTGACGAACTTAGATCTCATGTGTGATAAATCGAGCGTGTTCCACAGAATGGGATCGCAGCAAGCCACACGCCATCCTCTACAGACATGAGCTACTCCAGAAGTCAACTCATCGAGGCTAAAGTACTTCTTAAAAATCCTCACTAGTATGTCAGTGTCCAGATTTTCCCATCCTCTAAACACATTTTTACGGTCTTTAGCCATTGAGAACGCTTTCAAGAGGAGAGACAGAGATTCTTGTAGAGAATTGTTATAACATCTTCACGGCCCTTAAAACAAGCAGAAGAAAATTATCCGGAGTAATTAAGAAAGACATCTCTTTTTAGGTTTTTTTTTCGACTAAGGAAGGGATCTATATGGAAATCAAAATATTAATTATCAAGATGAACTTCGATACCTACAATTGAATGATAAGCAGATTTCAGTATTAAGAATATTTACATGTACTTATGCCGTGTTCCGTGAAAGTAAATTTCAATATGAATGGACTGAAAATCAACAAAATCATCTTGAAATGATTCCTTTATTTATATAGCTAGATTTCATGCAAACTTCAAACCAACAACGGCAAGGCATGGAAAGGAAAATCATGAAAACAATTAAGCATCCCCAGTAATAATATTAATATCTAACTGCAAAACGAATCAGAATCTAAGACTGTACTTGACTCATAAAAACCTAAAAATGTGACGAATCTTATATTAAGAAATGCAAAGACTTCGTGCTATATAAATCGTTTTAAAAAAAAAAACAGCACAGGATTCTCGTAAGAAACAAATACCCACAGTATTGCTAACAGAAACCTTATAATAACTACACATGCATAGATCTTGCAATCTCACAAGTAAGGTATCAAAAGAGTATAAAGCCATACCCTGAAACGACGAGGAGGGATAAGTGAAGAACCTTGGAGAAATGATGGCGGCGACTCTTGTAAGATTAAAGAACGTTACCTTTTTGTATACAAATGAAAGAAGGGCACTGGTCTGATATGATTTCACCTACCTCTTTCAGTCTGATTCTCTTACCAAATAGAAATTTTAATTACAATGCATGCATTGTAAAAACAATTTTAATGCATGCATTGTAAAAATGCATTCTCTTAATACATGCATTCTCTTACAATGCATGCATTGTAAAAACAATTTTAATTATCTTATCAACATTATCATTTAGTTTCTAGTCAAATTTTATATGTTTTCATTTTGGATCATCAGATTCAGCACGTTCGATTTCCTTATGTAATTAAAACAATTGAATAACATTTTCTTTTTCTTTTTTGTAAAAGAAAAATAATTTCTTTTTAGTTTTATTTTAAACTAGATAGATACCCGCACATTTTTGTGCAAAATTTTAACCATCTATATATATATATATATACTATTCCATTAAGAATATCAATATTTGGCTATAACTTTTATACATATAGAATATTATTAATTACTATGATTATGGATGAAAACGAGGATGATTTTTAAAATGAAAGGAGGGTTGGTGGATTTTTTTTGGGACAAAAATCATTTTGAACAGATCGGCAAATTGGATAGGTAAATTATATAATAGTAGAATTATATCATTTAACAAAAAAAAAAAATTGGTTGAAACAACGGATGTTTATTTGTTTATCTATATAACAACGAAGAGAACACACCAGACCAGAAATCATAAAAGTACAAAAAAAAGAAAAAAAGTTGAAGACCTAAAAGGAAGGTACCTTCCATATCAAGGAACATGCAAATATTTGCGAAACAACATACAAAAGAGTACAATTTAGAGATGAAGGGAGTTTATTTCGTCTGCTTTCCATAGCCCTTCCTCATACTTATACCACCTCTGTAACACCCCGATTCCTGGTTTCGAAAGAAACCAGAATAAATCGGGATATTAACTAACCTAAACTAAACCAATCCCAAATAACCAATTGTTCTTTATTCAAATCTAAACCCAAATCCAAGTCTTACAATAGAAATGAAATAACTTATTAAATCCGAAATAAATAGAAACATTGTCTTAAAGAGAAAGGTGAAATAGTTCTTAAAAAAAAACAATAAAACTTCCTCCATTTCTGAAGGCACACCACACTAGAATTACTCATCTAGTTCTTCCCAAACATCATCACAATCACACTCACAATCACAATCACCTGCATATCAGAATTTAGAGAGAGAGGGGTGAGTAATTTGGGAGAATTACTCAGTGAGAACCAAACCAGGCTTCCGCCTTATTCATTTATTTCCACCAACATATTAAGAATAAATCTAATGAAACCAAGCAAGCACTCTACAAGTGCACAAGCAACTAACAAACAGTGATGTCTCCGATCCCGCCTCTCAATAGGCCAAACCACCTTGTCACTCGGACACAGGTCGACATCTCACCCTGTCTCACAGACAGTCACCCTGTCACACAGACAGTCACCCTGTCACACAGACAGAGACCCTGTCACACAGACAGTTCAATCCCGGCATGCCACATGGACAGCCCCGTGGGTCATCACTCCACCGGATGAATGGATTATTGCCACAGTCACACAGACGACACATAACCCAGCAAACAAGCCTGCATTCGGCACATCACTATACCGGAAACAGACTATGACCTTTAGGACTTCTACCAATCACTAACCAATCAACAGGGTTATCAATCAATCATGCTGGTTCTTCCTCTAATGAGATCCTAGATCTTATTAGTTATATATATATATATATATATATATGGATCTGCCTAGATGCACAAGAAGACAGACCTGGCCCACCAGATCTAGACTCAACACACCAGAAGAAGATAAAAGGATAAGAAGAAAGACCTAGATCTAATCCTCACCTTGGCCTAAAAGCATATCTGAGATTAAGGAGAACTAGAAGAGGCAAAAGAATCAAGCAGATTCTGAGAAGGTGGAGGCAGGCGAATGCTCCTTCTTCTCTCGGCAAGCGGCAAGCGGCGGCGGCGGCACCCTTCTCCGGCGGCGGCGGTGGCTTCCCTCCTCGGCGGCGGCGGCGTGCAGCTTCTCCTTCTCTCTCACACTTTCTTTTCTTTGGGGGCTAGGGCAATTAGAGGCAAAATGAGGCTCATTATCTCCTAATTCCCTATTTATATTAGGGTTTCTGGAGTGGGCCTGGATTTGCTGGGCCTCCTCTAATTGGGCAGGGTTTGGGATGTTACAACTCTCCCCTGCTTCCATAGAATTCGTCCCCGAATTCTCTCCGACTCCTCAGGTTTCTCCTTTGTCCTTAAAGAGTTCCGGGAATTCCTTCCGCATTTCCTGCTCTACTTCCCAGGTTTCCTCGCGGATTCCATCCCTTTCCCAACACACCTTAACCGCTGGCTTCCTCTTGCCATTCAACCCCTTTTCCTGAAATTCCAACACTGCCACAGGCTGATATGCTGCTGAGAAGTCCTTCCTTACATCTGCTGGCGGCTGGGGCAAAATGAGCTCTGGCTCCCTCACAACTTTCCTCAGAAGAGAAATATGAAACACATCATGGAACTCAGCTAATTCTTTGGGCAACTCTAAGCGATAAGCCACTTCTCCAATCCTCTCCAGGATAGGGTACAGTCCCATGTAACTAGGCTTAAGCTTCTTCGTCAGCCGATGCTTATCATTCCCTCTGAAAGTCCTCAACTTCAGATACACCAAATCACCAACTTCAAAAGACAACTCCTGCCTTCGCTGATCTGCATAGCTCTTCTGGCGATCATGAGCTTCTTTCAACCTTGTCTTAAGCATTTCCACTTGCTTAGACGCCTCCTCAAGAAGTTCTGGCTCTAGCACTCTCATTTCTTCTACTTCGGTCCAGCACAGAGGTGTGCGACAAGGCCGACCATATAGAGCCTCATATGGTGCCATCCCAATGCTACTATGATAACTGTTATTATAAGCAAATTCCGCCAAAGGCAAATGCTTCTCCCAACTTCCTTCCCAATCTAAGACACACGCTCTCAACAGATCCTCCAGGGTCCTAATCGTCCTCTCCGATTGGCCATCTGTCTGAGGGTGGTATGCTGTGCTGAGATGAACCTTTGTTCCCAATACTTTCTGGAAAGCTTGCCAGAAACTAGCTGTAAACTTTGGATCCCGATCCGACACTATGCTCACTGGGACTCCATGCAACCTCACAATAACATCAATATACTTCTGCGCCAACTGCTCCGCTCCATCCGTATTTTTAATTGGCAAAAAGTGAGCTGACTTAGTAAGACGGTCTACGATTACCCAAATCGCATTCTTCTTACTTAGTGTCCTGGGCAACCCCGTCACAAAATCCATAGTTACCATATCCCATTTCCATTCTGGTAATGGTAAGTTCTGGAGAAGTCCACTTGGTGCCATCTGCTCTGCTTTCACTTGCTGACACGTAGCACACTGAGATATCCAAGCAGAAATATTACGCTTCATACCAGACCAATGGTAGTAGCGTTTCAGATCCCGATACATCTTGGTGTTCCCTGGATGTATAGAAAACTTCGACTGATGAGCCTGACTTAACACTTCCCTCCTTAGCTCATCATTCATGGGAACACAGACTCAATTCCTATACATGTAAGTCCCATTGTCTGCTTTGTGGTACCCAACCACTTGCTTTTCAAAAATCTCCTTAAGGGACAAATCATGCACTTGCTCCTGACGAATCCTCATTAACAGGTCAGCATTATCCAATGCTTCCAAACCTGCGGCATCATCCTCTACTTCAGCGACACACAAACTCAAATTCGCCAAAGTCGCTATCAGCTCCTGCGTTTCCTTAGCCTCAGAAACCGCATTTCTCCTTCTACTCAAGGCATCTGCCACCTGGTTGGCTTTTCCCGGATTGTAGGAAATTTCCAAATCATAATCAGCCAATAATTCTATCCACCTCCTCTGCCTCAGGTTCAAATCATCCTGAGTGAACACATGCTTTAAACTCTGATGATCAGTATATATGTGCACCTTTTCCCCATACAAGTAAGCACGCCAAATCTTCAGAGCAAAGACTACTGCTGCTAACTCTAAATCATGAGTCGGATAATTCACTTCATGCTTCCGAAGCTGTCTAGATGCATAGGCTACGACCTTCTTCTCCTGCATCAGCACACATCCTAGCCCGGATCCAGAGGCATCGGTGTATACATCATATGGTATTCCTGACCTTGGAAGTACCAATATCGGAGTCTCTGTGAGTTTCTGCTTCAACTC